TGTGTGAAACAAACACATCCTATCACACAAAATAGGCACGTTGTTCAAGAACAGCTGAAGAGCTTCAAAGGTGGAATATGACAAAGACGACCACACACAGAGACGTGTACTAACTACAGTCCACCCCATGAACAAAGAAGAAGTAATCAGGCTACATGAGGTCTCATTCATGATGAGATGATACCTAATTGCAGAAATACAAGCGCGTTCCCTGTCGAATAATGATGACCTCATCCCCTGTGGATGGGCTCGTCCCGCAGTGATGACATAATGAGAGGGGACACCACACTGACACCTGAAAGAGGTGAGCGTGTGTATGTCTCTACTTATCTGACATGTGTGTGTTTGTGTTTTTCTGTGCCACACTGGGACTCACAAATAACAACTCAGCAGTAGGCTAATGTGTCACAAACACAACAGTGCACTTAAACTGTCAAGAGACTGAATGACAGGACAGAAGCTGAGAGCGAGACAGACATGATGATGATGTACAGTAAGTAGACAGATGCAAGCACCTGTAGTTTAGTCACAACACAAACACAAAACCACATAAGCACAAATGCTGGTGCATTAATAACAACAAAGCTCATTAAAGAAGAGCTCCCCATGCCCTAAGTGCTAATCAATACTACAATCCCAAATCAGAAAAAGTTGGGATGGTATGCAAAATCAGATTTAAATCTGAAAACAGTGATGTGTAAATCATCTGTGTCCTGTATTACATTAAAAACACTATGGCGGCACATTATTTGATGTGATACCTCATCAATTTGATTGTTCCAAATAAGCACTGACTTCACTCCTGAACCCTGCAACACATTCCAAAAAAAGTTGGGAGAGTAAAGAATTTACCATGGTGTGATGTTGCCATTTCATTTCACAACACGGTAAAGACGTTTAGGGACTTAGAAAGTAAAAAAAAAAAGTTTAGATTTTTGAAACTACAGTATGAAAATTTATATCAAGAAGAAAGAAGGAAGAATTTTTCTTTAGATGAGTGTGCGCCTGCCTGCTCCTCTGGCTAATTTGACTCGTCAAATGGTATTAAATAGGAAGCTGTAGCGTTGCTGGTGTGTATGTGTCTCTGGTGGCAGCTGGAGGCGAATCTAAATGTGTTTGTTCCCCAGGGTCCTTGTCATTAGGCCACTCTTCCATTAGACCTAATTGGGTGAAGAGAGGGAGAGATGGATGGAGGGAGAGGCAAGGAGAACAAGAATGAGACATGGCCTGAGGGTGTGCCAAATAAAGGGAATGCCAAAAGAAAATAGAAAGGGCAAGAAAATCCACAAATCTGCAAAGAAAATGAAAGCGAACTAGAAGTAATCACCGTGAAAAGAAACAATATGATCACACAAATCCATCTTTTTTGGCCTCTTTTATTTTGTTTCCTGTCTCCCTCTCTCTTCCCTCCTGGTGACTGTACCAGTTTGCCAGCTCCTGCTGTTCCCAGATAAAGATGGATGCCCCCCACTTTGCACCACAGTAGAAACACCTTTACAGCTACATATGTGTACTATTTGCTAAAAAACAGGAGGGTTTTTCTTTTCTTTTCTTCGATTCTCCCATTCGTTTCTATAGTGTTTGTTGTTCTTCTCACTCCTATTCTGTCTAGCACCCCCTTTACCTCACACCAATTTCAAAAAGTCCAGCCCATACACACAGACATAGCCTGGGACTAATATCTGCCATTTTGTTAGAGGGTTACAAATAGAGGTGTGTGAGGGGAGGGAGGGGCTCATGTGTGTCTGTGGGCAAAGCCGGAATAAAAAAAACAAACAAACAACAAAAACACATACATGTCCTCAACTCTAATGGGGGTCAGATAAAGGACAGAATAGGGCTACCACATGCTCATAACACCCAGGATATTGATAACAATGTAAACAATAACACTATGTTACAGACAGCTACTGATGCAAACCTAAATATCTGAAGACTCGTGCTATGATTCATAATCAGGGCTTACACTTAGAGGCACAACCACACACTCACACGGGCAATTTAGAGTCACCAGTCAACCTAAGCTGGATGTCTTTGGACTGGGGGAAGAAGTTGAAGTACCCGGAGAGAACATACAAACTCCACACAGAAAGGCACTGGGTCTACCTGGGCTCAAACCCAGAATCTTCTTGCTGTGAGGAAACAGAACTAACCACTGCACCACCATGCTGCCCATCATTGCCGTTATCCAACTCATCTAACTCTGAAATGAATATATGGCCTATAGATTTTTTTTCATAATTTCATCTGTGTCTCTTTCCATGGTACTGCATCTTAAAAAAACTTGAAATTTACAGTTCACGCTCACTAGAAAAGCTTCTTTTTCCATACAGTATCTGTCCCTAAAGTCCAAACTGAATTAGGCACAGGGTTTTCACACAGTCGGCTCCATCTGCTATGTATTCATGTTATGATTATAAGCGGAAAATACAGTTTTTCTCAGCGAGTTTAAGATAATGAAAAAACTTTCTAAGTTTATATGCTTTGTTTGGCCAAGAGTTCCTGCAGGGAGGAGGAACTTTGGGTTATTTGATAAGGATGCGTCAAAACCATTTCACCTAAATGCATTTATAAAAAAAAATTTAACTGTTTCACCTTTTTTCATTTGTTTTCAACAGAGCATCAATAACAAAATTTAACAAAACAAGAAAAGGATTTCTGACCAAATATCTGAAACTTCATCACCCAGTCAGCATGAGCTGCTAATGCTTGGTTAACTGTGGAAGTGCTAGAACTAGCAACCAGTCTGAACCAATTTTGGTCAGGCTAATTGGTGCTTACAGTGATTAACGCCTACCCGTCAAAACAGCACGAGAAAGAAATCAATAGAGCTACAAAGTTTTGGCCAAGAATGGAGTTTTAGATGAAAGGAATGGGGCTATTGTCACGGCCTGATCGGTGAAGCAGCATTAATGGACGGTTTGCAAATCTAAAGCTGTGACTCAGTGCATGAAGGGACTGTGTGATTAGGCATAAAATGAATGTTTAATGATCACCATGGGCAACAGGTGGCATGCAGAAGCACAAAAAAGCCTGAAATGCAATACATAAATTTTCACACAGATGCATTTGTACTTTATGTGGACTGACAGATGCACATAGGCTCAAAGAGAAACAACAAACACAAAGAAAATAGACTACATATTCATACTGAACACATGATCTGCACTCACAAACACACACAGTAACTTAAAATGATCTTACTTGGCACTCTGTTGATGGCTTTGAGCGGCCGAAGGACCCGCACTGTTCGAATGGCGGACAGGTTGATGTTCTGCAGGTCAAGTGAGTACTCTACCATCCTGCATAAACAGACAGAGAGAAAAATATCATTTGGCCTCTGTATTTACCTGAATGAGCTAGTTCAAAACATGACAAAAAGGGATGACTATGGCACCACCTGGATGAGACGGCACTGCACATGATCCTTCCTCTCCCCTCCCACAGCTGTATGAGCTTCAACAGCATGGGCTGACTGTACTGTGCACAGTAGCGCACACTCAGAGAAAGTCAAGGGAGATACAATGACTAAGCATCAAAAGGGGCTAATATGAAACGAGAGGTGAAGAGGAGTAAAAGAGTGGGAGTAAAAAGGGATTCATCCTATTCTAAGTGTTGCTGCAGGATGTTGTGGCTCTGTCACAGTCTGGCATACCGTATGTTAGCGAGTCATTTCCACAGCATGGCTAAGCTGTTTGTGCCCCCACATCCCAGCTACTTCCACAGGACAATGGCCATGATTTGCCATGTGTACTCTATTTGTGTGTGAAAGCAGCATGTGTGTTTGAATGTGCCACGGGCTTACTAGAACACCATGATCATCAACACAGAGATTGTTCTCAGAGTAGCTTTTTGCCGGGTTTTACAGTTTCAGTGTAATAAACAAGACCATAAATGGCACTGCACAAAACTGATGCCCCCCTGGGCTACAGCAGTGTTGGGACGGCATGATGCCAACAACCACCACTGCAAGCTAATAGCACCCAAAGCACATCCACAGGCTTCGGGAATACAAGACAAGCTCACAGTCTCCCACACAGACAGACTTATGGACAATGTCATTTACAATAATGTGATACTTTATTGATCCCACAGGGAAGCTCTTTCCATTTGCCCTTCACCAGAGCACAGAGACATTAACAAAGTCGCACCGCAGCTCACACTCCAGTGGAATTATCTGCTGTAACAAGAGTCTAAACTGCTGCACAGCTGACAGGCAGTTGTTCTAACCATTTATTCATATAGTGGTGAAATGTTTCAAAAAGACAAATGTGCAGGTATGTGAGGGCGCTAAACAGCACTTTTAGGTGAAATGTTTACTCCTTATGGACTTGTGGAAACAGACCAAATCTCTCTCACAGACTCCCACACTTGAAAGACTGCATCTTTGCAAGGATGTAGAGGCCCGTCAGAGACCAATTGTCTCGTCCCAGTGTAATCGAAAGTGCAGAAACACCACACAGCAGCTTGATGAAAATGTCACAGTAGAGCATAACAGTTGTTTTGGAGCCAGGCTTTTCTGCCCGGGCATAGTGGTGTTATTACAACCTGCGTCAAACACAACAGTATCTGTGGTGGTGCTAATGATTTGAGCTGCTAAGAGACTGAAGAGAAGAGTAAAATGCCAAAAGGGAGTCTCTAAACAATAAAATGTACGTTTCCCTCTTAGTAAGCTCAAAGGCACAAACACTTGATGTTTTTCATGTTGCTTGATTAGGTTACAGTTTAGAGAGATAACACCTACAAAAGCTGCTAGAGTTGCACGGATTGGCACAAGATACAGCTTTGTTAGTGAAGCAGTTGCATCTGAGGAGAGTGCAGCAAATAAAGTGGAGGAGAGATCACAGATGTGCCTGCAGGTGTGTGGGTCTTTAGACGCATCTGCTCTGTTTATATGTGTGTGCACACTTTGTATATGTGTGCGTATGTGTGTGTGCTTTGTAGAAGTGTCTCAATCAGGGCACATTAGTCAGAACAAAGTGTTTGGGGTGGGGGGCGCGTAGTCAGTGGACTGCTGCAGGCATCCTTTTTATGATTGTTCTCTGGTTTTCACATTCCTTTTTTTGCTTGTGACACCTCCATCTTATTCCTGCTTTTATGTGTGTGTGTGTGTGTGTGTGTGTGTGTGTGTGTGTGCATTCATACAGTAGCATATCAATATAAAATGTAGAGCTTTGGGGGAAACTTAGGGTAGACCTGGTGAAAAGAGTTCAGAAGCACCTCAAACATAAGAGACAAGGAAAAGGAGTCTCACTGTAGTGACTTACAGTGACTGTCAAACTGACAATATACCCTCATCACAGCTAATACTGAAGTTGAGGTTTTGGGTGTTTGCAACTCATTTATATCAAAAAACAGCATCCTTGAGTTTGACAGTTTAAAAAGAAAGATGCTCATCTGTGGGGCTCTCCTATTAAAGGAACAAAAATCGTGAACTACAGCTGCAGTGTTGTTATGGTTTACCCTTTTTAAGTATATGACTACATCTGAACAAACTGTAATCAGGTCTTTGTATCTTCACATATGCTGTATATCTGAAGATGTGCCAGGTGTGTCTACCAGTTTGAGTAAAGATGCAGCGCTTTAACATTCCTGATACATAAAAACATCAGTCAGTCTGGTGAAGTCTTTTATCGTCTGGAACATTTTTTCCATCTATATTAGACATACATCACCATTCAGAAGTGTGGAGTCACCTCCATTTCTTTGGTTTTTATTTTGACATTTAAGCAGTTCAAGTCCAGTCTATAACCATGAATGACTGAACCTTGAAGTGTATGAAACTTTCAGGGATGGAGTAACAGGCTGCTTTCATCTTTTCTGTAGCAGTGGAAATAAATCAGTCCATGAAAACCAATGCAAACTATTTCTACATGTGTCCTGACTTTTGTTGATTATTTAAAACTACAAATTCTATCTGTACGAAGGCAGCAAATAAGGCAATTAATAAAGGAAGGAAGTCATAGCCTTTCAGGTTTCATCCTAAAGCAGAATAATACGCCAAAAACACCTCCAGGCTATGTAGAAGAACAGAATGAGATGGTAGGCACAGTGTCCAGACTTGAAAACAAAGCAACATACAAGTGCAACATATCTGTGGGAACTTCTGCAAAGGTGCCAACTACCTGAACATTATTTGATTTCAACTGTAGAAAGAATGATACAGGCATGTTTGGCTATTGAATGAAAACAGTAACAAATATAAAAGTAGAGGTGACCCAAACTTTTGATTGTGTATGTTAGAACAAATATACAAAAAAAAATATAAAGATGCAAGACTGACTTTCTGGTGAACGGGTCATCCTTCATGCCAGTATGAAGGATCTCACAAGGAGATATTCAACATTTTTACTGGAGATATCAGAAAAGACAGGAAAAGTAAGTCTTGGTGCAGTGGATTCAACTAAAATAAAATATACAGTGTATAAAATAAAATAGACTCCACAAGGCACTTTATGTGTAGCAGGGTTATGGAGCATAAAACCCCCTTCAGAGCCTGTCTGGACAATAGACTGGTCTGTGTGTGGTCTGAAGAGGGAAGATGTTCATCCGAGCATGTGAAAAACAAAGAAACAGAGAGGAGGGAGGGAGGAAGGGTGAGAGTGTGAGGCGTTGCCTCTGGGTCACAGACAAGGAGTTCATAGCAGACTGTCGGCTGTGATTTGGCCCGGCACGGCTGGCACTGCCCTCTGCAATTAGCCTAGACGCTAATCTGATGGGTGCTGTCAAGAGGAAAACAAAGATCAAGGCATACATGCAAAAGCATATACAAACACAGACACACATGCGCACAAATTAAACAAACTCATAAGACATAAGCTGACAGACTGTAATCTGTGTGGGTAATTCTGTGCTGCAAATACACACAGTCACATACACAAGCTAGACTTCCACTGGGGATAAACTGATTCAGCTCAAATGAAGATAAATGTCTCCACCGACCCTGTAAGGCTGCTGCTCTACCTTTTTTTGTCTGATATAATATTTGACCCTCTCCCTATACATCTCCTCTCTGTCTCTCGCTCTCTCTCTCTCTCACACACACGCATGCACAAACCTGCTTTATCACCCATGTCTGAGCCTCTTATTTCGCTTCATTCACAGCAGGTGTTTGAGCAGGTGTGTTTGTTTTTGTTTTGTGTTCATGCATCCATCTAGTGTGTGTCTGTTTCTTGTGGTTAACAGCATGTGCAATGAATACTTCACAAGAACAAGTTCAACTTGCACAACACAATATATAATCATGGCTGCGTATGTTCTTGTGGGCAGGTGTTACTAATATTTCAGCAGTAGGTGTCTCTCGGAAACTCGTTTTTGAATTCCCAGTTTTGTCTTTTGTTCTTTCATTTCGTTCTTATTTTTCCTGTCTGCCTACCAAACAATTTTACTTCCAATTGAAGTGTCAGCGCAAGACCAAAGCACCACAACAACATTTGTGACATCTGCTCCCTGGAGTCAGCTGTTAAGCTATATTCTGGTGTTTATGAACATGGAAAGATTTCAAAAATTACATCACATTTTTCATCTTTGCCCTGGTGAATATCTCATACTGTAGTATACTGCAGCACACCCAGTCTTCTGTTATACTGTAGCCTCTGTCGCAGTGTGCCAGAGACTGCTGCCTTGTGGTTTCATTGTCAGAGGACACCAGACACATGCTCTATTCACTGTTACAGTGTTGCATGTACAATGAGTCTACTGGTAAAATGTCTGCTTCATGAGATTGCTCCTTTACTCCATTTTGACTGTAACCTTGTCATGCAAATTATTTATTGTGCAAAAATATCGTTACAGTACAATTCAGAATCATTTTAATACTGTTTCAAGTATGATTATTATCTAATAAACAATTACATGAAGACCTGTACTGTATGGATGTTACTGACAAATTAGCGGATGAAGAATGGATGTGAAAGATGTTTTGCTCACATGTTAAAAGTAATGTTCATTTCAGAAGCAATTTTTTAATTTCTCTTTTCATTCTAATGGCAATGAATATATTAAATGCATTGACAACATAAAAAAACAAATCTGACATCTGTGGCAGCAGCAGGGCTGAAATAAGCCTGAGCGGTAATTGTACTCAGCCAAATCAGAACTACTGGGTGCCTTAGCTGCCTGTCAACCTAATTTCTGACTTGCAGGCACTCTGATCTTGCACTTATTGCATGAGCCAAGAGTCTCCTACAAGGTAACCCAGCCAGATGTGTCACCGCTCAGTTTTTATAGCTAAAGCTAGCAAGCTATGGCAGAGAAGGTACCCACAGCAGTTTTCAGTCACAAACGGAAACTGTTTTTTGAGAGTTACAACTATAAAGAAGATAGATGATGCAAGAAGTAAAACCAGAATTAACATTGGTGTGGCATTTGAATGATGGCGACAACTGAGAGAACAAACAGGGCTGAAAAGTGATGCCAAGGTGGCCGGGTCATACCCTAACCGGAAGGCTGGCAGTCTGACTCCCAGCTTCTCCAGTCCAGTGTCTTTGAGCAAGACACTGAATCCCAAACTGTTCCCGGTTCTTTCAACGGTGTGTGCACTTTGGAGTGCAAATGGGAGAATGGGCATTGTGAAAGCAATCTGGGTGTGATGCAATGCACAGAAGAGTGCTGTACAAATATAATACCATTTACCATTTTGGAGAGAAGTCAGAATCAAAGAGTTGGATTTCTTTCATTGTCTACTTTCAAAATCAAGCTTCCTCTCACTGGTTTTTCCAGGAACGCCAACTTTACCTTTAAGATTTTTACTTCTAGTCAAGTGGTCACACTGATGGATTAGAAAAAAACCATGAGTTGTAAGCATGAAGACACATGGATTGAAAGGTTATTCATTAGACAGTTTTAGTAGTCTGTCATCCTGTATCATCAGTGTTACTACACATACACAACAGCACTTGGTGGCTGTATTAATCTTTTTAGGGCTTAGCTACATATAGTTATACTGTAAACAGTAGTCAAAGCTCATTGAGGCCAGGGAAACAAGTCCTGTCATTATGTTTCACATTTGCTAAAACCTCATTTTAGATTTAAAGTACAATGAACTAACTCAGTCACCAGTTACAACATCAGTGTTTATGACAGCATACTACTGTCTATTATATCTTGATTTCAAGAGATAAAGAATGAACCTTCCCCATATCAATCTTCCCTAAACAACATCACATACAAACCTAGACTTAATACTGACATAATAATAGTTGCATACCCAGCCATGACAATAAAGAAGTCCAGCCTGTTCCACGTGTCTCCCAGGTAACAGCGATGACCAAAGATCCCAAGAGCCACCATCTTTACCACCATCTCCAATGCAAAGAAGATGTAGATGAATGCATCGAAAGCCTACGAGAATACAGAGGGAGATGAAGTTAGTAAAAGGAGGAAAAAGATGCATTTCATACATTTTTTTCCTCATGTTTATTAAACTAGTAAGCTCAGTCTGTGGTCAGAGCTCCGTCTTCAGCCCACCTTCTTAGTGCCATCCATGATAAGAACAAACTGTCCAGAGTTTTTGAAAATCCACCTTGTTGTTAGCAAATTTTTAGAAAAAGAAAACAAAAAAAACTATGAAAAGCAATTTTTTTGCTGATCTGTATTTATTCAAATACTTCAAAACAATGCAGAATTTTTTATTTTCCACCTTTCAAAGGCAAATTTAACAGTGAGTTTGGCGAGTTCGCACTTCCCAGCAGACTCACCCCAAAACTCCACAAAACCACAATAGTTATTTTTCATCCAAGTGGCTTTTCAGACACCACAGATTATAATCTAAAAACACACCAACAGAAGAATATAGGACCTTCTGAAACGTTAACTCTCCAGTAGTGACAGCACTGGTGGCTTTTGTTTGAGCCAAGACTGTTGTTAACATTTCTATGGCTTAAAAAGAGCTACATGTCTACACTTGTAGTAATACAAAACCACACAAATCATATGGTTCTCGATGTGAAGCAACCCACGCTGCAATACTTGAATCACAACAGAAGGAATAGCTCTGCCATGTCTTGCATTATTATGCTCAGATCACTTGCTAAACACCCCGTTGTATTTTTGCAACAAAACTCCTTCCCAGTGCTTTGCCCCAGGCTGTGTGACTGTGAATGCTACCTTATTACACACAGTCTAATTTGAGCCTTAATTTGTAATTTGGTAATTTGGCCTTTTCATGAAGGATTTTTTTTGTTCCAACCTGTGTGACTTTAATGCACAAGCACATACAAAGTGCTACACTCTTCCAAACAGGATGATAGTTTGTTGCTACTGTTTAACCTCATGGTTATATCATCTTGAAACTTTAGATTTGTTGACCCAAAAGGCAAGAATGTTCACCATCTAAACTGCCTCTCATGCGCAGGGCGGCTGAAGCCTGTTAACAGCAAACTATAAAACAAACAAACCAATATGCTCAAATATAATAATACATGTCAAAGCAAATATAAATGCTGTCCTAACATGGGTAAAACAAAGACTTTCATGGATCACAAGGGGTTTCTAGCTGAATGCTGCTCTAGGCTGCTAAAGTGCAGTACGTTTGTGTATGCAACAAATCAGGCAGCACAAACCAGTGTGTGTGTCACTGCAGTGGGAAAAAAACAATCTTCCACAAAGCACTTTAAGGTTACTACGCTTCTGGTTTCCGGCAAAAGCTAAATGACAAATTAGAGCCTCCAAATAACCCACAGCAGGCTATAAAACACTGATATGTGGTACATTTGGACAAGTGGGAGAAAAACCCTTAAATTGGAGAAGAGAGAATGTGTTCAGTCAGCCCTGATGGACAACTGGAAAATGATGTTTGTAGCCCTTTAGCTGACTTGTAGCTATAGACCACACTGAATGAGATAAACGGTATATGAAATTTAGTGAATTTATTCATATTGCAGCACTACTGGGTGTAGTTCTGTCTGAGACAGTAATTTTAACTGTCAAGAGACGAGATCTACGAGGATCTGTCTCTTGTTTTACAAGTGTAAACATGATCTGTTCTATTTTTTATTCATTGGGACCAAAGTCTCTAGGAGCAGGTGGTGCAAAGCTGGGCACTTGTGAGTTGTGTAAATGTATACATCTGTGCTTTTTAGCTTTTATGGGAGCATGGCTTTGTGTGTATATATAAGCCCATAACTGTGTCATAATGCATTTGAATCCAGCATATGTGATCTCTCCCTGCTTATTCATTCACACACAAAACCTAACAGCAGCGTCACCTCAAACATAGATGGCATACAGAGCTGGCAGCATGCAGTGGGATAAGATGAGAAGATCAGTTTCACATGCTGTTAAAATGATGTTTTGATAAATAATGCAGCCTGCACGCTTCACATGTAATCCGACATTGGCCGCATCAGTTGGATCCCTGTCGCGCTCTGCTCTGAGTGAAAGGGGAATGAATTCATCATAGTTATTTGTCACCAGCACCAGCTTCCTCTTCAGTCAGCCTATCAAGTTTCATCTTCAACATGATTTGTAAAGAGATCGAGCCTGCCTTGTGATGGGCCTATTCATGATTTGAAATAGGAGCTGGTGTGGAAGCTACTTCGTATGCTGGCATTGTGCCGCTTATTTGGCAGGAGCAGGGGACGTGGTAAGAAGGTCATCAGGATTGTAATGGCACCACTTAAAATAAAATGTGTGTGTCCCACTCTACTTGTGGATTGAGTGACTGATGAGGACAAATTTCACTCTCAAAGACAAATACCGCACGATGGGAAGAGGAATACCTGACAGTCACTCTACAAAGTGTATGAGAGTTTTCTGAAAATGTGAAGCTCTATTAAAGATGAACAGGTGCTGAGTTGAAGGTATAATGAGTCCTGTCCCATCCGAAATCCATTTGAGGCAGATAAACAACTTTCAATTTGTGAAAAATCACCATGCAAATACAGACAGGACTTGAATCTGGCTACCTGGAGAGGATCTCTATCTCCTTGGGTACAATTTTCATCCTCATTTACAGCATCTGGCTGTGAGTTTGTTGTTCTTATGCTCAAAAATATCATTAAAGCAATTAAATGTATATTTCACTTTCCTTTTTAAGTAGCTTTAGCTGCTTCTCCAATTCACTTAAATCAAATTGGTTGCATACTGGAAGGAGTAAGAATGAAGAAACCAACTGTTCACAAGATGTCATGTGTTGATATGTGACTACAGACGATGTTAAAGGGTCTGGTTACCCAAATTACACTTACCCTACTGATATCTGCCTCTATAACAAATGTATGTTCCAAAAGCACTGAAAAAACTTGACCCAGTTCAGATAATCAACAGCTTCATAGGGACTATTTGGCAGCACAAATCTCAGAGAGGTGAACTAACTGTTTAGCTTTGACATCTTTTTAGTGGAGGTGTTAGTTCTGACAAGGCTATGTATTGACTGGGCTAATTTGAAATGTAACGATCAATTATAGCCCCATGTTATATATATTCTGCTGAATTAAGTTTAATTGAATTTTAGGTATCGATCACGTTGGACCACATGCCCCCAGAGTCCCCTGTCCCACACCCCTCACTGAGGCCTTTAGTTATGCCTCATTATAAATAATAATTTGCATGAGCCAAAAAATATCTGAACTGATCCTAGCTGTGTCCACCCCCCCCAAGGAGGGGGGTGGGTGTACTGTATTCAACAGAGGTCCAGAGAAGCGTGTGAGGGTCACTAAATACCTAAGCCCTGTCAGCGAAAGCCCCCTTGTTACCATTAGCAACCAATAGAGCAGGACCCTTCACTTTAGCTTTGGAGAAAATATGCTTGTTAGAGAGACCTAAGATGAAAGAAGAGAGAGAGAGAGAGTGTTTAAGATGGGAGAGTGAGAACCTAAGGAGGAGTAAAGATATGTACTGGAAGAACAAGTAGGAAGAGGGCAAGAGACAGTGAAGCAGGAACATGTGGCACAAAACAGCTGTGAATATGTTTTATACTCAGTAAAGAGAAAATCTGATGAGGCTTTTTTTACATTATGATCCACCTGAATGTGCTGTAGACAAGTGAGATATGGCAGTGTAACCGATCAGGACAGCAACAGCATGCAGGACAAACTAACAGCAGAAACCTCACATGACGGCTACTGTAAGAAGATTTTTAATATCAATGGGCATTAAAATTGCTTAAAAAGTATGCAAAGCAGAATTAAGCCAGTCTTGTCACACCTGAATTGAGCCTGCCAAATTTACTTCAACGAAAAGCAATTATAACCCTCAAGCTTACATATGGAGTCTTCATCCTGTCTGCAAAGGTTAGAACTCATCTCATGGCGTCAGCTGTACATACAGTAAAGTACAGAATAAGTGTCTGAGGCAGCTGTGGTCTAGAAACAAGGAAATGATAAGCCAGTTCTAAAATTTCTGACAGATCTAAAGCCTTATCAAGAGGGTAAAGTGATTCAACAATAAACTGCAGTACATTCAGATTGAAGGCCTGTGGGTAAATTGTCGCTGACTGCAGCATGCAACCGCTGTTGGCACTTGTCTCCATAAGACTGTATTAAAACAAACCAAGTCCCAATTTCCTGTTCAGAGAGCAGGAGAAAATATAAATCAACCAGGAGGGAAATGCTGGAGCTGCAGTGTCAGAGCTTGAGGAACAGTGACAAGAAGAGTGGTGAGTTGCTCTGAGCTTATGTCAAACAACTGACTGTTTTGTTCTATCTCTTCATCAGCGCACTGACGTGTTGTTGTTACACACACACACACAGACACACACCGCCTTACCTGCAGTATCTGGCAGCGGTCCGAGGTGCAGTCAATGTTCTCACAGGGTTGGTACATGCCCAGTGTCACACAGTTGAGCAGGATGACCATGATGCTAATCCTTTCAAACCACGTATCAACAGGACTGGGGTTAAGGAGCATAGCAGCAGAGGAGAAATGTACAGTCATACACACACTGTATATGAGTCAAATAGCTCTATAAAGGTAAAATAAAAGGAGGGTAAAACCTACATTACTTCAGCTATACGCTATCGTGGACCCCTGGGGTCCATAATGAATCAATCTATCTGTAATAAAACACAATCTGCATGGTTTCTATTATAAATCAATGCCTGGAATAAAGCGGAACATCAAAACCAATGTGTTTAAATTAGCAGCAGATGGAAAATTTTAATTTTGTGTACTCATCCGATCATTACTGATACTACAATATCAGTCAGTTTTAATGCTGTTTTCAAACATTACTCATGTAAACAACTTTAAACAGCATTGGAAAAGCTTTTAAAAATAGTAGCTGTGTAGTGTCCCTTTAAATGATACATCAGTCCTTTTATAGCAGGTTTTAATCCCAGGTTTTGAATTTAGTTAGATAAGTTTGAACATGTGCCTCCATCACCTGACGGCTGAACTGGCTCCGTCTCAATTTCTGTCTCTTCTCCTCCCTGAACCCTGAATCTGTTTGCATTTCTTCTAGATGGTCACATTAGATGAAAGAGTTGTTCCACTATAGAACAGCCACAGGGTTTTGTTACAACTTGGAAAATAATTTTTGCATATTGAATTGCCACAAATTAACGAAGAAAAAGAAACAAATTGTTTTTATAACGCTGTTGTTGTAATGTTGTCACTATTCAATATATCAGTATCAGTATAGAAACAGATTTATGTCACAAACTTTAGTATGGACAGACTGCACATGGTGCACCGCACAGCTCAGGCCTTCTTTAGGTGTTATTATTATTATTATTTGTCATTTCGATGCTGTATGAAAACAAATCCAGATGGTAGATTGATATTATACACACAGTAATGGAGGGTATGTATGTGTAGTTACTGCCATGTGGTTTAAATGTCTTTTACAGCATTTAACTTCCTTCATATATCTTAATCTGTCAGCTTGTTCTTTTAGTTCCACACTCTGTCCTCTTAAGTCTTTTTGGAGCCAATTCCAGCTGACACTGGGTGAGAGGTGGGGTACACCCTGGACAGGTCGCCAGTCCATCACAAGCCTGACACTTACAACCACATACACTCTTACAGGCAATTTAGAGTCACCGATCAACCTAAGCTGCATGTCTTAGGGACTGTGGGAGGAAGCCGGAGTACCCAGACACAACCCACACAGGCACAGGGAGAACATGCAAACTCCACACAGAAATGCACTGGGTCAGCCGGGCTCGAACCTTCTTACTGTGAGGCAACAGAGCTAATCACTGTACCACCATGCTGCCTGCTTACTTTAAATAATAAGTTTAAAGTCTTGATTTTTTACACAATAGCTAAAAATATTAATACATACAACCCATTACCAACTCTACATAGGTTTGAAGGGATTCCATGCAGTTCAAAGATCTTATTAAAAAAAAACTTAAGTGCTTTTTTAAGGAAATCTGGACTGCAGATGGCTCTAACCCCTCCCCACCACACACACACACACACACACACACACACACACACACACACATACTCCCACCCTCCACGCCAGGATTATGTGGCTAGAAACAGCCTTATTATTCATACACTGCTCTCTGGTGTAACACACTGAAATAGGGGAAATGATCAAAATGATGTGTGGAAAGAAATATTTTTATTAGCCTGCATCTCTGTACTTTCTCTTTCCTTTTTGTAACTTCTCAATATCATGCAGATTTTTGCAGTTGCTTCCTGTTCCCCTTTCTCCTTCTATCTTTGCTTTTCATTCATTCCCACGTGTGACAGAGCAAATGAGAGACAATTTTGCCCTTCCAGCAAAAACAAACGCCAACACTTTCAGACACATTATACCTCAACCGGCAATGAAAAATCAATCAGGCCTGCATGCGTATAAGTGTGTGTGCATGCGTGAGAGTGTGTATAGCACTCCCACAGTGCAAGTAAAGAACCTGCCCTGAGGTTCTGTGTTAGCAAAGCAAAAGCCAGGAACAGAGGTGTGGTATGAACCTGCTGAGAAAAAGGAGTGACAGACAATCTGAGAGGAGGAAGTAAAGCAACGGCATGCCCTCCACATTCAATCATTACAAACAGAACACCATGGATGCCTCAGTTAACAGCATCAGCAGCGTCTGCACTAACATCTGAAGTAAACCGGCATCTATGAGCTCTGCTTTGTCATTCTGGCCTCAAACCTTCTCCTCAGGGAGCTGAAGCAGCAGGCGACTGGTTCACACCCTGCTGATTCCCGTGCCAGCTGACGGCTGGTCATGTCACCCCCTAATCATGTTCCTAAGCGAGGCTGACACCAACGATGCGCGCTGTTATTAAGCTTCAGAATTTAATTTGATTGTTCATTTAAAGCTGTATTTATCCTAAAAATGAGGAGACCATCCTTGACTAAGAGTCTCAGCTAGCATCTGTTGGTCTCTGTCTTTCTCTCTCCTTAACATCACGTCTCTCCCTCTTCGCTAACTCCACAATGTCTAATCTTCTTAGGATGTGGATAGGCTCTCCTCTCTGTCTTTACTCTCTTTTCATCTCTTGCCTGTTCTTCTTTACTATGTCTCTAACTATTTTTACGCCTCTCCCTCTGCATCACTATACATTTCATCAGACATTTGTCCTCCGCTTTCATCCTTTTTCCCCATTTGGGGCTTTCAAACCTCATCAACCTTTCTGCCTCCCCTTTTCACAAAACATTTGGGGATGTTCACTTTAGGTCGCTGATTCTCTATTCATCCCCTAATCTGCTGTTGTGACACATTCGTGTAGCAAAAAAGCAAATTCAAGGACCAATCTGACCCAATTTTCCACATCTTTAGTAGGAAATTATCTTTAGAAAAAAATAGATAATTCTAATCATCAAAATGTGAAAACAGAGGACGCACTGCAGAAACCAATTTATTACCTGAGTGCATTTTTTATTTATTTTGACCTTATGAAAATTCTGTTTTTCCTGCAGCATCAGAACATTTTACAGGAGCAGTCTTAAGTTGATTTTAATCATACGTTGCTAAATATTTAACCTGTTTAATTCAATATGTTTACCTGTTTTCCCTCTTTTACTTATAGGCTCAGGACAAACAGTACTTCTTACATGTGTCAGGCAGCTCTGCATGTTTTGAACAATTTTAAATCTTTGTTGCCCACATGCCAAAAGATTCACCACTGACATCACTGTACGAGTGGATACAGAAAGTGTCCATGCATATAAGGTATTACTGTACAGTGTATATTATAAGATATTATTGTATAGCATAATTCTTTGTATACAGTAGGTTAATTGTAAATATGCTGTAACAGCCAGCTATAAATTGTGCAATTGGCATGTTTAGTACCTGCCAGTTAAGTACCGACTGTTAGTCAATTAAGCATAGACTTTTATTGTCCTTTCAATTTCTGTTTGTATTCATTTATTTTTCTGACTCATGTAATGATGACTGGTCTATTTAGAAAAGAACTTGTGTACATGACGAGGCCTTTTCTTCTTATTTGTGTGAACAATTTAAGAACTAAAGTCTATTTCTGTATTATTCTTTTCACAAATGTAAAATAGTGTATGTGTGATTCAGTGTGTGTGTGTGTGTGTGTTTGGGTGGGTGGTGGGTGTGAGAGCAGTGAGGAATTTTATGTAATCTATGAAAAATGTAGGAATGCACCAGATCAACAGCTGCATACTGTGTGTGTGTGTGTGTGTGTGTGTGTGTGTGTGTGTGTGTGTTAGCGACAGGATGACTCATGACTGAATGAGATTTCTGTAATTTACAATGAGCCAATGAGGCTTTTAGACCGAGCTCCTCTCTTTAGTGTGTGTGTGTATGTGTGTGTGTGTGTGTTCCTGTGAAAACCCTCAGGATCAGTCTCATTCAGAGTGAATCAAAATGACATTCTGCTTCTGACTGGAGCACCGAAGCCTGTGCCTGCCTCTTCTCCCAGTGAGAACACACCATGATAGGTCACACACACTGTTACACACATGCACACACTCATGTACATGGAGTCTCAGTAAACCAGTATGTGCATCATTCCCACCCTTAACAAAACATACACAAGCACAGACAGCTCGCAGAGACCTATCCTCCTCCACCACCATGTTTGTGACAACCACGGTCCCATATCATCGCTGTCGGGCAGAAAACACTTCCAACTGTCCATTTTTTGTCTTTTATGTCATCCTTTATGTCTGCCTGTGGGTTTTACAAACATTTAACCAATGAAAAGCATAAGATGGGCTTGTGACTAACTCTTGTAACTCCATTGGAACCTGAAAGTGTCGCCAAAACCTCATATGAGCTTGATTTGGGTAAATGTTAATAATATAATGAGACACAAACAAGTAAGTGACCATATATAAAGACACAATACCAACTTTGACAATGTGATGTTGATTTTAGATACACAGAGTTTCTTCATTTCCTGAGAAGCAGCTGTTTTAGAGATACAAGGTTTCTGCCTACAACGACAATATAATTGGGTGGGCTTTCAAAATCATCGTTTTCCAAATGTCCGTAGCTGCAGTATGTGTTGTCAGCCACTGTGTGTGACACAGCGGGGAAGGTCCCAGCTGCTGGTGGAAGGATCTGTCGATATGACTCAGTGATGTCCAGGTCAACCAGTGTTCAAGCTGATACACAGTGTGTCTGCCCACTGTCCTTGGGATCACACACTTTTGTTTGGCCTCTAACTGCTTCTCTTTCCTGTCCATGATGAAGTAATGAGGCTCACTGCCAGAGATCTCCCCACCAACCTCACTCTGCTTTCATCTCTCTTTTTACCCCACTTAATTTCCTACTACCTTTGGGGAAATTGATCAATGAGTCTTATCTCTGTGTTTGTCTGGGTAGACTGTATATAGGTTTTCTCTGTCTCACCCTCTGGCTGCTTGGCCTCATTTATTCTTGCCTACTGGTCCACAAGTCTTTTCTCTTCATACCTCTATAATGTCTTGTTTTTGTGTAT